GAGACTTAAGTATTCACCGGGGGGGGGGGCAACTCACATATCTGTGTTGTGGTGCTGTATGTGGGGGAGTAGTCTAAGAGAGAACAATGCCACTTGCTTGACTCTGGGCCAGCTTTGTCACTTCCCCCGCTACCCACAAGCCTTCTGGTGCGGATTCCAAGGTGGGTGGGTTTGTGTATGTTTTCTGGGATCCTGCGGGTTTCTCCAACAAACTCCCCTGTGAGGCTGGGAGTTTCTCCCACTGCCACAACCCCCACAGGTCTTTACAGCCAGAGGTTTTGAGGCTTTCTTTTCCCATGCTGGAAACCTGGGTTGCGTGGTCTGTCTTGCTCCCCAGTTGTTCTTCCTGTTTTATCTGCACACAAATGAGGGACCATCCAGTCCACCAGCTGCTGCCTTGCCCAGTCCTCCAGCGGCTGCCTAGCCATGTGTCCTCTCCATCCCAGCTGCCCGTCTCCATGCCTCCTACCACTCTGGATGAATGTGTTTTCTTTAACTCCTTGGTTGTCATACTTCCACACAGTTAGATTTTCTGGCAGTCCTGGTTGTTTTTTGTTTTTAAATTTTTTGTTCTTCTTTTGGTTGTGCAAGGAGGCAAAGTGTACCTACCTATAACCTCCATCTTGGCTGGAAGTCTGCTTTAGCCACTTCTATTCAATATTGCATAGGAAGCTCCAGAGAAATAAAACATACCCCATTTGGAAAGGAAGAAGTAAAATGATCTCTATTCACAGACTAGCGATTTTCAACCTTTTTTCCCCTATCAATTGCATGTTTTAAAAATTCTTGGGTGTGTCACAGCACACTGGTTGAAAATAGCTATCACAGACAACACAGATGCTATATATAGAAAATCCTGAAACATCCATAACACATTAAAACTAGTAAACAAATTCAGCAAACTTGCAGGGTACAAGATTAACACACCAAAGTTGTATATGTTAGCAACGAACAATGTAAATAGTAACTGAAGAAAATTCTATTTACAACAATATCAAAAGAACAAAATACTTAGGAATGTATTTAACCACAGAAATGTAAGGCTTGTACAATGAAAGCACAAAATATTTTTGAAATACCTTTTTTTAAAGAACTAAAACAAATGGTTTTAAAAATGGAAAGACATTTTTGTGTTCATGGTCTAGAGGACTTAAAATGGTAATACTCCCAAAGCAATCTCTATCAAAATCTCAATGTTCCCTGGCCAGGTGGCTCAGTTGGTTGGAGCATCACCCCATACAACAAAAGGTTGTGGGTTTGATCCCTGGTCAGGGCACATACAAAGGTTGTGGGTTCAATCCCCACTTGGGGCAGTATGGGAGGCAACCAATTGATGTTTCTCTTTCTTTTTCTCTCCCCCTCCATCCACCTCCCTCTCTATAAAACATATCCTTGAATGAGGATTTAAAAAATCCCAATGGCCTTTTTTTTTTTTTTACAAAAGTATAAAAGTCATCCTGAAATCCATATGAAATAGCAAGGGTCCCAAATAGCTGAAGACAATCTTGATAAAGAAGTGGAAAACTCACATTTCCTAATTTCAAAACTTACTAAAAATAGGTAGTAATCAAAACAGTGTAGTATTGGCATATCAATCAATATATAAATCAATGGAATAGACTTGAGAACCGAGACATAAAACCACAGAAATATGGTCAATAGATTTTCAACAAGGGTGATGAGACCATTAATGGGGGAAAGAATAGTCTCTTCGACAAATGGTACTGGGACAAGTGGATAGCCACATACAAAAGAATAAATTTGGATGCTTACTTCACACCATATACAAAAATTAACTCAAATGAGATTAAAGACCTAAATGTAAGAAATCAAACCAAAAACTCTTACAAGAAAATACAGGTGTAAATTATGATGAATTCAGATTTGGCAATCGTTTTCTTAGCTATGACACCAAAAGCCCAAGACACAAAATTGGTTTATTGGACTTCATTAAAATGAAAAGCTTTGTGCATTGAGACACTATCAACTATAATTGAAAAATAAATTTTAAAAAAGGCACTATCGAGTGAAAAAACAAAAACAACGTACAAGAGAAAATATTAGCAAAACACTGTATCTGCTAAGGGTCTAGTATCCCTAATTTATAAAGACCTCTTAAAAGTCAACAACATAAAGAGAAACCAACTATTTAAAACACGGCCATAAAAACTTGAACAGGTACTTCTCCAAAGAAAAGACACAAATGGCCAACAAGTACGTGAAAAGATGCTCATCATTAGTCATTAAGGAAATGAAATTCAGAAACTACTTTATAGCCACTAGGATAGTTATAAAAGGAAACACAGAAAACAACAAGTGTTGTAGAGGATGTGGAAAAATCGAAATCCTTGTACATTTCTGGGGGGAATGTAAAATGCTACAGCTGCTGTGGAAAAGTTTGGTGGTTCCTCAATAAGTGAAGCACAGAATTACCACATAACCTAGCAATTCCACTCCTGGATACATATCTTAAACTTGAAAACCGGGAATTCAGAAGATATCTTACACAAATCTTTGTAACAGCACTGCTCACAATTGTCAAAAGGAGGAAACAACCCAAATGTCAACAGAAGAATGAACAAACTGTAGTATATGCATACTATTATTCAGCCTTAAAATGAAGTACTGAAACATGCTACATCATGGAGGACACTTAAAAACATCACACTAGCTAGGCAAAACCAGACACAAAAGGTCATATATTGTATGGTTTTGTTGATATAAAATATCCAGACCAGGCAAACCCATAGAGATAGCCCATTAGTTTTTTTCCAGAGGCTGGGTAGAGTGGTAATGGGGAGTCACTGCCTAATGAGTAATGGGTTTCCTTTTGGAATGATGAAAATATTCTGGAACTAGAGACTAGTGATGGTTGATTGAAATGGTGACTGTAGTAAATATTGTACACTTTACAATGGTTAAAATGGTAAATTTTATGTGTCTTTTACAATAAAAGTTTGTTTTAAATTAAAGAAATGTTTAAAAAGATTTTATTACAAGAATTACAGGATATGAGAGGATGTTTTTATAGTTTGCAAAACTATTAAGTTCTAATGTGTCTCTGTAGCACCTTCTTATATTCTACATCAAAAAAGTTTCTACAAAAGAGGTTAGATTTTTTACCATGCTAAACAAAAATTCTAAGGATTGCTAAATATAAAAGTATATTATGTACCTGATCAAAAAAGATGTATACTTTTTAAGAGCAAGGAAAATTATTAAAGTGTTAAATTTGAACCAAGTGTTTCCAGGTGAGCAAATCTCATCATTCAAACACAAAGCAAAATTTTTTGTAGGAAACTGAAAAATATTAATGAAGCATTAGCATGAATATCATATAAAGCATAATGATCCAAATTCCCATTACTAATGCTCTTTTCTTTTTAATGAACAATTTGTTTTGGCAACCTTATGTAGATGAGAACAGAACGTGTTTATAACACTCCTGCCACTCACAGCATTAAACAGACTGGTCTTTAAAACAAACAAAAAATAGCTACTGTAAAAAAAAACTTACGAATGCTAAAATTAAAAAACAAACAACTTCCAAAATTCTTGAGATGCAGATGCCTGAGTAAACTGATGTCCTGAACTGTACACACATGTACATGATAAGAATTTCAAGAGTATGGTGAGACACCATGTTGAGGCCTGTCAGCAGACTCAGAAACTGGGTCCAAAACGGATTCTTGATTTCTGGTTTGGTGAAGTTCTCAAGGAGCATCATCCTGTGAGAGTATATGGCCTAGAACTCACAACAACAGAAAGGCCCATCAAGAGCCAAACTGAAACCAAAGTAGTTAATCTTTTATTCTCCCCTCAACATATATTTAGACTAGTTTCATACTGACTTTATGCGACTATTTGATTTAGAGGATTTGAATGAAACAATGTTTATAATTCGACTTGATTTTTCTAAAAACAAAATTCAAGTATAGCCACCTTGAGTATTCTTGGGAATTTTACTCAGCCTTTACCATACCTTCTCCCCTCTTCTACATTCCTGTGGCATTATTACTAAACCACCGCAAAAAAAAAAATTTAAAAAGTAATAAAAGAGACAAATTTGAATCCAGTAAAAGAAATCACTAGGAAGATTTTAAGGTCTGTGGTTTTATAACTTTCTTACAACATTTGAATTTTAAAGGTCTTCTCTAGAAACTTTTTTAAATAAAAGTTTTATTGGAGAAAAATAGAACCACCACGTACACAGGGAAAAGAGCACAAAAATTCAATCAATACAGAATAACTGAAAAGTCACAATTATCCATTGTTTGTAATTACTTTTCAATTTCTTAAACAGCTTCCCTCAACTTGTTTTTTAATAGTCTTGCCTATTTTTCAGCTGAACTAGCATCAAGTTTTCAAAAAATTAAGAGCCTGAGGGAAGGGACCAGCTTTCAAGATGATGAAGGTGATGCCAAGAGTCTCTCCCTAACAGGAACAATTCTACATAAACATTCCTTAAGAGTAACTACCAAGTCTTCTGGAACAGTCTACATATCTCAGAGACCATCAGGGATAGGTTAGAACACTGACATAGATGGTCCAGTATGGAGAAAGGCACACAAAGTAGTTGCATTTCCTTGTCAGATGAGTTCATGTAAGGAAAGCCAGAAGAGCTGAGAATATATAAGTAATGGCTCTTCAAAAGAAATTAGGAAGGCATTCAAAATACCACATATTGTTACACAGCAGCATGTACACTGATGCAATTAGACAGACAACTTTGTTCAAATAGCTGTTTATGGGTCTTTGAGAACTCAAGAAAACATCAATAGCAGACAGAAAAACCAAGTCTCTGGCTAGGACCTAGGCATTCCTCCTCATGGCTCCAAATAGTTAGGAAATATACTGCTGCAAAAAGCATTAAAGCAGTTCTGATTTTAAAAAAAAACACAAAATTTTCTGCTTTTCCTTCATAATCAGTTCACTTCAAAATTTTAAGGAAAAACAAACAAGAAAAAAAAAACCCAAAATAAGAAACCTACCAAAAAAAAAAAAAAACTACTGGTGGTAAAATAAAGAGAAGCCTTTTACTCACATTATCAATTTGAAGAACAATACTTGCGCTATTTTCTACATCTGAACAATCCTAGGACTTTCCCCTGAAAAGTGGGTATCCAATTGTCATGAGAACTCCTCAAACAATTTTGAAAGAAATTAAGATCAGCATGATAAAGAATTTGAAATTCCAACTAGGGGATATGTGGAGAAAACGAGGGAGGACCTTTACATGTAGGGTTTTAGGGAGTTAGAATAAAAATGACAGGAAAGGCTTATTTACCAACAAAGAGTTGGGGTACTTCCAAAAGAACTTTGGTAGAAAAAAATAGGAATGCTAAATCCTAAAAAGCCTGTAACAATCTACAATTGGTCCAAGTTAAAGACAAAACTGTTCAAACAACATTAAAGCCTAAAGGAAGTTGAAAATGAATTGATGGAATTTTTAGTTGTGTACAAATGTATAAAATATGTGGGTTTTGGTCTCCTTTGCAATGTTCATATTGTATTCATTTTTAATATGAAGAAAGAGTTGGAATTTTTTCTCCTACTGTGTTCTTCTAGTACAAATGATCAGCAATTTTCTATTTCAGCTATATTTATAAGTACCTGTTAATCAACACAGTAAACTCAGGGCTAAGCCATATACACACATCCCATAACCATAAATGGAGCATTTGAGGATGTGTATATACAAGAGATCATATAAGCAACTGTCCTTCTACTTGAAAACTTGTTTTCAAATAAATTTTTTCAAAACATCCCTTTAAGTGTAACTGAACATTACTTAGTAAAATATCAATAGCTATGACAACTTATTTTTCTTTTCAAGGGAAATCACAAAACAGGTGAACAACCAAGTCCAGGGTGGTTTTTCTATTTGATAAATACATCCAGAACTCTGTACAGTAAATAAAGTTTGCATGCAGTTTAAGTATCTTTAAATGACATTTTAAGCAAATAAACCTTTGCTTCATAATTAACGGTGTATAAGAATCCCACTTTTTTAATAGCCATAGGGACCTCTTCCCCAGTTCCAAAGAGGAATCATGAAGACCAAGTACTTTCTTAAGAGTTTTCTGCACATCATACTAAATAACATGCAAAGAGTTCAACAACATTCTTCTTTAAGCAAGTATTACTCTTTTAATGAGCATGTTAACCACTGAAAATGTCCACTCAACTATTTCCATTACACTGCTTCATTTGGTCATTGGTAGTATAAAAGAAGTCAAACAATATAGGATCAACAAGTTAGGTTTATCCACTGGCTACAGCATGAGACACAAAATGCTCCAAGGCCAAAATTTTATGCAATGTAGTTGTACTGATTTGGATTTTCTTTATCTCTCTCCATGTAGTCCCGGTCAATTAAGGATTCTATTCTCTTCTTAAGATCAGCAGGCTGTAAGAGAAGGCAAATTTTCAGTGCAAAGCTCATATGCATTGGCTCAAACTCATTTACCAACACCCCATTAAAAAAAAAAAACAGTTTTGGCTCACTGACTTAATGTATTTAATCTCTATTTGTTTCATTTTTAGTTTTTAAGAATCTCAATTTTAAAAAAAGATAAAGTATAATGAAAATAAATCAGGTTAAGAAATGTTTTAAGCTATACACATACAATCACACCTTGCCATATTATTATACAACACTTCCTATTACCTTTCTTTTTTAAAGAGATCTTCGAAGAAGAACCAGGCTATTCTCTACACAAATACAAAGGACGAACTCATAACTTCACATGAGAAACACATTATAAGTTTAGGGAGACAGAACGCTATTTAATTTTGCCAAGATAGTTTGAGAAGATAGGGAGATCTTAAATTTGGGCAAGAGCTAGTTCTCAAAGTCAGGTTGCATTTTCATTAATTTAAAGAACAAAAAATGCACTGCAGAAATCATTATTTACAAGAATACTACAACGAATGATGTGATAAGTATATTCTAATAATTCAGATCTTCGTATTCCAGGTTTGATGTAAGATTTAACTGTGAGCTACCATAAAGGATTTGGATTTTTGAATCCTACTTGTGCTTTAAAGAAAATTGAGAAAGTTGTACATTTGTTTTCATGATTACATTCTTAGTTCTTCGATGACAAATTCCACTGTTTTTTGTGTCTAATCTATAAAAAATATACAATCTTGCTTGCTAATAGAGTGTTTCAGATTGTGTAAAATGGCCACTTAATCAAGAGGGTGAAAGAAGGAAAGTAATCTGATGGGGCAGCCAAAATTTCAGCCATAATATCGCACAGTAATTTGAAGGTTTGAAACTCAAAATGGTTTTCTCTTAATTATAGTGAACCTAGAATATCAGCACAATATTTATTATACTAATCCTCTTACCTTCTCTAGTATCAGTAATCTTTCTGGCTGGAGGTGAAATGGTTATTAGGCAGAGCATGAGAGTGAAGTGTGGTAATGAGGAGGCAGTGTTAGGTTTGGAAAAGAGAGAAAGCCTACCTTATTAACAGCTAATGAGCAGTTACTATATACCAGGCCCAATGCTAAATTTTTTATACATGAGGCCTGTCCAGAAAGTATCCAGCCATGTACTAGGCAAAGTAGAGGCATTTATTGAAGAAGATACAAGATACAAGAAACATTGTACACAGGGCAGTGACACCTCAGTCTCCTTCAAAGTAGGCACCCTGGGACCTCACACAGTTCTTCTGGTCACCATCATTTGCCCTATTGTGTTTTCCTGAATCTCATCAACAGTCTAACATCTCTTCCCTTTCAAAGGTGATTTTAGTTTTAGGAAAAGCCAGAAGTCACAGGGCGCCAAATCTGGGCTGTAGCAGGGCCGAGTCACCTGGGTGATTTGATGTTTTGCAAAAAAACTCTGTACCAGACGTGATGAATGAGCAGGTGTGTTGTCGTGATGAAGCTGCTGATGAGCAGCTGCCCATAGCGGCAGCCTTCTGAATCATCCAAATAGGTTCCAAGGAGGAACGTTCAGGCTTAACACAAAATTTGATGCAGATTCATTGTTCTACTCACTCAGTCATTTTGAATGTGACGGCCACACAGCACACATGCTCGCTCAACAGCATCTACCACCCCCACTGACTAGTACAGTGAAGTTGTCATTGTTCACACATGTGCATTCCAGTCCACTCTCCTTGGCTGCCAAGTTACACTGATATCGTCCAAACCGTTCTCATTATATTTATAATGGTTGGACTTTTTCCAGACAGACCTCGTACATTATCTCATTTGGAAATCTTCGAAAACATGGAAAACAGTGCAGTACACCACCACACTGTCTAAGCCTCTTTATTTTTGGGAGTTTACACTGGAGCATCCATTTAATAACCAATTTCAGTTTGCCAGGACTATTGCTAAACTTTTGAAAAAGATGGTTAATGGCCCTGGCTGGTGTGACTCAGTGGATTGAGCACCAGCCTGTGAACCAAAGGGTCACTGGTTCGATGCTTAGTCAGGGCACATGCCTGGGTTGCAGGCCAGGTCCCCAGTAGGGGGTATATGGGAGGCAACCACACATTAATGTTTCTCTCTGTTTTTCTCCTATCTAAAAATAAATAAATAAAATTTTAAAAAATGAAAATTAAAAAAAATTTTTTTAAAAAGATGGTTAATTATGGCTAGTTATCTGAATAGAGTTTCTAACAGCCACTCATGAACTATACAGAAGATTTAATTTAAAATAACAAATCAAATACCAAGATGTGTGTGTATATATACATGTGTATACGTGTGTGTGTGTGTGTGTGTATTTCAATTAAAGTTGATGTTCAGTATTATTTTATTAGTTTCAGATGTACAGAACAGTGGTCAGACAATTCTATAATTTATGAAGTGATTCCCCCAATAATTCTAGTACCCGCCTGGCACCATACATAGTTATTATAATACTATTGACTATAATCCCTGTGCTGTAACGATACATTTTGAGGAGAAAACCCCCCCAAAATAACAAAATAGCTCAAAAGAAATATAGTGAATGAACTTGAAAAATTCGTAGACTCGCTTAGCAGCTAAACTTTTAGGTATAAGAGCTTTAATAAATTGTTTCCCCTCTTTTGTTACAGCTGCCCACATATGCCAACAATGGGATTTTGGAATCATATATATAAACATGAGAAATTAATACTTTTTAGCCTGTAGCCCTGGCTTGCATGGCTCAGTCAGTTGGGCATCATCCTGAAAACCGAAAGGTCGCTGGTTTGATTCCCTGTCAGGGTACACGCCTGGGTTGGCGGTTGCAGGCTCTGTGCCCCATTCCCAGTCGGGACACTTGCAGAAGGCAACTAATTCAAGTTTCTCTCTTACATTGATGTTTCTCTCCTTTTCTTTCTCCCTCCCTTCCCCTCTCTCTCTCAAGTAAGATAGAATAATTTAAAAACTTTTGACTCTCCAAATTATCTTGAGGTTTTAATCTGTGTTTGTACAAATCATGTTTGAAAATCTAATGTGTTTTTTTCTTATAGAAGCAGCTCAATATGAAAACACAGAAGTACCTACCTTTACTGGAAATTTCAACTGGTTGTACACTTCTGAAACCAGCAGATTGTGGCTAAGTGTCTTCCTCATCTTCATAATTCGAACAATTGCAGCATCAATTTGATACTGTCTGTCTTGAAATACTCTTTCTGTAGTGCTTGCTTGCTCCTCAACCTAACAAAAGTTTTATTAAAAAAAGACTTAAACTTAGGAATTGTATCTGAAGTAAAAGTTGATTAATCCTTACACAAATTGTACATTTTAGGAACATGACACACTGTTAATGTGTTAAATATGCTGAATTATCTAAAGAAATGTTATAAATACAGAAAATCAGAGGAAAAAACCAACAAACATAGATCCTTTCTGTCCTAATTACACTGCCCTGTACCTGTTAAGGAATGACAATATTAATTAACAGCAAAACACCATTTTTGAGTTGCTTTTCTAGAAGTAGAGACCAGTTGATTACAAATTTATCATTTTCTTTTACTCTGTCCTTGAATTATTCTAAATGTGTCACAAGGGATTGTTGACTAAATTTCTGTATGACATTAGCTTCTCTGTTAAAATGATTGACCTCAGATTCAAAGGATGGCACCAACTAGCTAAGCTCATGGAGTCAAACTTTTTTTAAAAAGTAACCTTTTTGTAATATATAAATCAAAAATGCACACTGTTAGTGCTTATATTCATTCAAGACTAACTAGTTTAGGAGTCACTGTACCAATTTTATTGCTAAAGCAAGAGTGTTCATCTTTAGCATCTAAATCAAAAGAATAGTTTGGGCTTTTTGCTGGCAGTCTCTTTCTGATAGAGCATAAATGTTTCAAAAGGACACAGAAATCTTCTTAGGGAACATGATATCTTTGATGTGAATGTGAACAAGACAGGGAGTTGTTTGAGATACTGACCTCTGTCCCACATTAAAACTTTTTCTCAAGCCCTGCATTAAACCTACTGGAACTGAAACCAACTGGTTTCAAGAAATGCTATAGTTGTTGGTTTCCTTAATATATATCTCTTACAAATTCAAAAGGCAAAAACCAACAAAATATTCACTGTTAATCAAAGAAATACTAAATCACTCATATTTTTCATCAAGCAAATTGGCAAAGATTTAAAAAAGAAAATGCAATCTTGAGTGTGGCAGGGGCACTGCTAAGACAGGCCATCACACTGCTAGACAGAGCGTAAATTGGTGCGGCCTTTCCGGAATACAGTATAACAATGTATTAAGACTTAAAACTGTTCATACTCTTTAACCAAAAAATCTCTTTCCATGAATTTATCATAAGGGAAATTTCAGAGAGATTAAGATCTAGGTACAAAGAGGTTTATTACAGTGTTACTCACAATACTAAAAAGTTATTCATTTAATTGCCTGATAATGTACACTGGTTGAATAAATTACAATAGCGACGTAAAAGAGTATTGTGTGTTCAACTACCATTTTATAAAGCTATTTAATGGCATGGGAAAAGTCTGAAGATTTTATGTTAAACAAAAAAGAGCAAATATAAAACTGTATCAAGTATCAGGTCCAACTGTATGCATCTCTCCAAAAAAAATTGCAAAATCAAATACTGAAATACACTGAGCTAGACACAGGCATAGAAAATGTTAATGTTAGTGGCTGTGTTATAAAATCTTCTCTATAAATTTTTATTATGAACACATTTAACTCCAGTGTATTAGGAAAAGGAGAATGCAAAAGCAATACCGTTTCTTTCATCTGAATTTGATTGATCTTTATCCTGAAAAGTTTGTGTTTGAAATCATCATTACAAATGAACTTGTCACCATCTTCGATATCTTTGCCCTTTGGATTTTTCGCCAGAACTCTAGCTTTGCCACAGGCCAAAGACTGCAGTGTTCTCCTTAACTCGCCATCCTCTGAAGAAGAAATAATGGCTCAGTCATTTATTACTAGCTTATCAACAAGAACAGCTACATTCAACCTCAACCTAGCTTCTACCCCATCCCACTATTAAAACTGTTTCCTTTTTACCCCAAGGTCACCAACAACTCCCTCTCTGTTCTATCCAATGGCTTTTCTCCTGGTCATCCTCGAAAGACTTCAATCATCATTCCTTGAGTATAATACTGAATCTGCAAAAATGACATCTCACTTCTTTCCAGTCCCACATTTAAAAGACACCTCCACCTGGCTGTTTTTACTGTCATCAACTCCAGTATGTTCAAAATTTTATTCATCTTCCCCATAAAACTGGATCCTCTTTCCAACTGTTCGCCGTGAAGCTACCAACCTATTCGGGAGAGAAGCCCTGGAATCACCGTTGACTCTTCCTTCTCCTTCCTTCTCCACTTACCTAGTAAGTTGCTCCTTCCTTAAAGGAACCTCTTCTCCATTCTCACTAGCCTCGTTCTACCCCTTATCACTTTATGCCCAAATTATCCCACTAGTTTCGGGACTGGAACCTCTTCATCCTCAACCTGCCCTATTGCCTACTAATTCCAGGTAAGCTTTCCATATAATTCACTTACATTATGTCACACACTGGTGACCCCACAATAGAGCTGTCTTTTGCTAGATTTGTGAGGTTCTCCATGATCGTGCTCCACCCATCTATCTTACCCACACATTTTATCTATTCTGTGCTGCAGTTAAACTCTTTATGACTCCTGCCCACACTGTGCTCATTCCTACTTCCAGGACTTTTCTCACATTTCCCCCTGCAGCATATGTTTTCTTCCTTAACTAAAACCTTAAAGCCCAGCTCAAGTCCCAGCCCCTTCATGAAAACTTTTCCCATTGTACCAGGCCACAGCGATCTCTTGCCTCGCCGAATTCTTAACACACTCCTAGTCCACACCACAGATTGGAATTAAATAGTTGTAAATTATTTCAAGTGTCATTTCCCCCTCTCCCAGTGGTCATATTCTGAGTGCCGAGAAGAGGGATTATTCCTTTGCAGCCACCCCCTACCCGAGCTCCGAACCTGGTGGAATGCACATAGTGGACACAGAATAATGCTTGCCAACCAACGGAGTCAACACACACCTATTCCAGTAGCCTGCTTGATCTCTTCTAAGCTGAACTCCTCTCCTTCATTAAACATTAGCAGCACCAGTGTTTGAAAAAGAGAGACCTGGAGTTCTTTTTTACCCTGTTGGAGAAACAGCAGTGTTTAGCCATCATTTTTTTTTAAACACATTAAAACTTAATCAAATAACTAATCTCTTACAGGAAAGCACTTTTTTCAATTAGTGGATTTAGAAACATGGATTAACAATATCCAGGAAAGCCATTATGTTCAGTGTAGGGCTTATGTGTAGTTCTGCCTAAAACAGGAGGAAGGATTGGGTGACCTTTCTACAGGTCTTTTTTTAACGCCTTATAATTAAAACTGAACACTAAAGTAATGAAAATTAATACCTTAGGTTCGTTATGTGTCATTATAGATATTTATCATAAGCAGCAAGAAATCACTATTTCAAATGCATTTTTGACTTTTTTGATTCAGGTAAACCGTGAAAAGCTGCAGGAACTCTATTCTCTAGCCCCCGGTGACAAGAAGAGAAGTTTCCTATCAAGAAGTGGCAGTGAATTCTACATCCACGGGTGGGAAGAGTGGGAGAAAGAGTTATTGTTTCTGGTTTTGCAGCAGGGTGAAATCAAGTGTGGAAAAAAACCACATTCTTATCATACACACAAAGTTGTGATAAGCTATCACTTCCATGCATATCTTAAGGATAATTTATAAAGAGATTAAGAGGGATGACCTCACCATCAAAGGTGAGGGTGAAAACTAAGTTTGGGGAACACCCACTTACCTCTTTAAATTCAGCCTTTAGCACACAGTGTCCCAGGGTCGACTGCCACTGAAGTTTCCTGCCACTATGTTTGCCTAAGTAAAACGTCTTGAAAATCTCCTGAAGTTTTACCATCTACAGTAAATAAAATAAGGCTTTTTACAGCTGTTTCCAATATCACACATTTACTACTCTTTATATTTATGTCATGTATAATAATTCCTGGATGTTTTAAAGACTATCCAGTAGGTCCAATGATCACTGATGCAAGGCACTGATCCCCCAACTACCAAATCTAATGGCATTATCAGGCTTCACACTCCCACTTTCTCTGCAACATTTAATCATCCCCTTTTGAAACATTCACCTCTCATACCTTTTGTGCCTCTATACTGTGCTGGTTCCTTTATCTCACTATTGCTTCTTCACTGTGGTTTCCTACAGGCTCCTTTTCTGACCATCTGCCAAATGTGAGCCCTTCCCAAAGTTCTGCCTCAGCCTTTTTCTTCCTGTTTCTACATTCTCCTTTCTCATGAGGGAGGTCTACTCCCTGGGTGTCCACAATTACCTCCATGGAGGATTCTCAGTATCTATCTCTCTAGCCTTTTCTAAGCTTTGGTCCTAAGCTAGACATTTCCCCAAGGAGTTAGGATGAATTTCCTCAAGCACCCATCACTTAGCAGTTCCACCCCCAGGTGACATATGAGCAAGATTTTTTGAGAGCTGGACCAAGTGTTGAGTGCAATCTGGGGAACTGAGAGGAGAGTCAGAGAAATTGGCCCTGAAGCCAGAAGCTAGGCACCTTTAGCTACGCTCTAGTGATATTAATGTAAGCCAGGGGACCCCAGACCCCAGATCAGTACTGGTCTGTGGCCTGTTAGGAACTGGGCTGCACAGCAGGATGTGAGCGGCAAGTGAGCGAGTGAAGCTTCATCTCCATGCGTTCTGGATTAAAGTCAAAGTGCAATATCCTCAGATAGCCACAAAAGCACTGAAAAGCCCGCTTCCATTCCCAACATCCTGTCTTTGTGAGGCAGGGTTTTTTTGCAATGACAGCAATCCAAGTGAGATTATGGAGTAGACTGGACAAAAGCAACACATTTCGGTTGTCACTGTCTCCCATCACCCCCAAATGGGACTGTCTAGTTGCAGGAAAACAAACTCAGGGCTCCCACTGATTCTGCATTATGGTGAGTTGTATAATTATCTCATTATATATTACAATGTAATAATGATAGAAATAAAATGCATAATAAATGTAAGGTGCTTGAATCACCCCGAAACCACCTCCCTCCATCCATGGAAAAATTGTTTTCCAAGAAACAGGTCCCTGGTGCCAAAAAGGTTGGGAACTGCTGATGTAAAAGTAGTATAAATAGCAGAGCAAAAATATTAAAACAACTGGCACCTGGTATCGGTGTGCGTACTGACACAAACTTTTATAGAAAGTATCTGTTTTTCAACAACAAGCAAAATAGAAGTGTCATGTATTTCTAAGCATATAACTTAAGTACTAAACAGCAACTCTTACCTCTGGTGGTAAATGCACTTCCATAGGCACGTATGTTGGCCAATAACCCATTGTCAGGATATTCACAGTTAATTCAATATTCCCCGGTACATTCTGGTTCTGCATGTACTACAATAAGATCAAACAGACATGCTGAGATCTTAAAACTAAAAGTGCATACATTTCATGTCATAATAACCCATTCAAGAAGTTCCCCATTAAATTACATGCAAATATTGACCATCTCTAAAATAAAAAGCAACTATTAAAAGATTATAAATGAAGCCTATATTAAATGCACTACAAAAGTGCACTAACATTTTGTCACAATGGCACACAAGGATCATGTGACCTCGTGAGAGGCATTATTAACTAAAGTAGTTTCTCACAGCTGGGCAGTTAGAGAATCTCTTCTCCGCTGTTTTCCCCATACCACCTGCAGCCCCCACCTTTGGAGACCCCTATGTGGCCTGGAACACCTTGCAGCAAACCCCATTCCTCACCCCACCAGCCAGCCCAAGTCTCCGGTTTTTCACTTGCTCCACTGCCTGTGTGCAGGGGCTGACCTGAAGTGGGGAAGGAAGAAAAAGGGGAAAGGGCAAAGCAGATCAACCCTATTCTGTTATCTACTGTAGGACTGGTGATCCGACCGACCCTGATCTTTCTCTCGAGTCTCCAACTCTCACTTCCACCGTAGCGATATCGTTAGAAGGAAAGAAATCATTATTAAAACCCTAAAGAGGAAAATATAATTTGCTGTCACTATACCCATGCTCTTAAATATTTCAAAACCTCCTTCGAACAACATCTACGAAACGGTGGCTCCAGTTTTTCATTCCCAACGTCCCCAAAGGCCTCACACAGCCGCTCTGTCACTTCTCCCTCTCCATTGCCAGCTCTGAACATGTGAATCATCAACAGTGAGTATTAGGTGCTGGAGAAAGTCTTGTTCTCACTGTCCTGCAGCTTTTCCAGTCCTGACTTCAGCTCAATACATGTATTTCTATTTTTGTGTTATCTTGTGCATACATTGAGAATACTGAAGTAGGGCAAGTCCATTTCATTGGTGATTTTTTTCTCTACTATGAGTATCATTTAAGTTGCTATGGAATATTTACAACAAAAATACATTTCTGTTTATCCTTTCCAGTACAAACCGCAGCAAGTGAATAACTAAATATATTTAAGTTCAAGGAATTTAATAAGAGTTTAACTCACTTTTACCTGTTTGAACTGAATCATGATGTCTTTAGAAAGTTCCATGTCTTTAAACATTCCTTCAAGTTTGCTGGTGAAAGCAGCTCCACATTCTATTAAAGATGTTTATACATTTGTAATATTTCAAAGTGGTTAAAAGAGTTTAAAATTGAAAATGTGAATATAAAACTTATTGAGCATGAAACAGGATCTATAACTAATCATAAGACTAAAAAAATCCCTACCCCAAAGTGTATGCCCCATTAATTGAGAATTAAATTCTTTAATCCTATAATGACTCTATCTCCTATTTAGGCATAAAATAAATGGGAAATTTTTATACAAACAATAAAAACAAGAACAATGTTTTATTTTTTAAAAACTGCAACAGCTCTATATGCTTCCAACAACAGATTGGAAAACTCGTGAGCATACTCAATTTACATTTTCACCATACAAACAAAGAATAGTTGACAAAAGAGTAAAAATTAAACTGACATGTCCCCCTCGAAGTCAAAAAAGAAAATGAACAGAAAAAATGACATACATACCATGTTTAAGTTTGGACAGCATTGATTTTTCAGCATCTACAGATGCACTCTTCCCAACTAACAGGCGTTTGGCTAAGTCTTTCTTATAGAAGGCCTCAAAAACATCCTTGCCTATGTTAAATAATAAAATACAATTCTCATAAAATTCCAATAAAAAGTTCTGACAAAACTGCTTTGAAGTGTTTAATAAATCCTATCATTACTCCAAGTTAGTTAAATGCAAGAAACATTAGAGGTAGGCATTTGTATTGGACACTTCAAAAGTTCTTTGCTGCAAAAAATTAAGGTTGCATTAACTTTTCTTTAGAAAAGCTTTAGTCAATTAGTAGCTTTACTATTAATACTCTAGATTAAAACAAGTAACAAAAGTCTCCTAATAATGGAAAAGTCAAAACACATGGAAATTAAATAACATTCCTCAAGTATCCCCATGAATTAAATGCAAGGAACATCACAGAATTTTAAATATCCCAAACAGAATTTTACATTAACTTCCAAATCAACTCCAAGTTGATTATACTTGCTAGTTTCTCTGTTGAGTGCTTTGTTTTAAAAAATATATATATAAAAACAAAAATAAACTTACCATAGATAAATCTAAATATGATCATAATTTTATCCAACATTTTTTCAAGTTCCTCATCTGTAGCTTCTTTGTTGCCAGCACGAAGTTTTGAATCTACGTATTTAGCTAAAATAGGGGGGGAAGTTTGTTGTTTACTGATCATGGGTATCCATAAGGTACCGGGTATTACACATACCCAAACAGGAATATGATATACTGAGTTTTTCAATGCTTCAGAGGCATATATGCATTTATAAAAACAATGTCACAGTTCATAAATACCACAGCCTTAATTCAAACCCAGGTGTTCTGGCTCCAGATCTTAGTGTACTTTCCACTACAGTGTCTACTTTACAATGATGCTAAGCAATCTTAAACACTGTTTTTATTAAAACTAGATGCATTACAGACTTGGAGGCAAAATTTGCAGAAATTCTAAGTCAGAGTAGTAGACCAATGAAATTTCATCTTTTTCGCAGAGGACCCTAGACCTTCTCAGAGTACCTCCTCTTCTGACATTAAGCGGTACTTGGGTGGGAAAACCTGAGCAGCACTACCGTACACCACACCCTTACACTAAATGGGCCCAGGTTATGAGGTTTGTTTTTGTCCTGGACATTTTCCTTTTCTCACTGGCAACTATAGTTTCTGCTATCCCTTCTTATATCCCTAATTGTGGGCCTCTAAAAACAGCACCCTGCCCCAGCTCTAAATTGCTGTGGGCTTGTAAAACAGATCTCAAGCATATTATAAATAAAAGTAAATAGGGTCCAATGTACTGTCTTGTAATGAAAGAACATTATGTTTGACAGGTTGTCTCTGAGCCATTCTTTAGCTTCAAGGTCTTACTCCTTAAATCCAGGTTCTTAGAGACTACCAGCTAAGCAACATCAAATGAATGGTATTAATATGCTACAACCTAAAGTTTTATGAATAAAAGAACATTAAATAACTGGAAAAAGAGACTGGAAAAATACCTATAAGTTCGGCAGGTTTGTTTGGTCTCTTGTTAATGAATGTTTCAAATGCTTCTTTCATGGCGTTGATAAATTTTTCATTCTTCAGAAAACAGATATCAATTATATGGTCAACCTTATCTTTAAAATCCAGCAATTCTTGGACCATTGTTTTATCTTTTTCAGGATTAATTACAATAGTGCTGCCAAATGCCTAAACAACAAAAATTACCATTTTTTATTGGAATTGAATCATCCACAGTGAAAACAATCTCAAAATCATATTTTAAGGAGGTATATACTATTTGTAAATCTCAAAAGGTAAAACAAAGCTGTTTTTTAAAAAGATTTTATTTTTTAGAGAGAGAGGGGAAAGGAGGGAGAAATAAAGGAAGAGAAACATCGATCGGTTGCTTCTCGCAGGCCCCCAACCAGGGACCTGGCCCGCAACCCAGGAATGTACCCTGAATGGGGATCGAACCAGCAACCTTTCAGTTCGCAGGCCAGGACCCAACCCACTGAGCCACACCAGCCAGGGTTAAAAGCTGTTTTTGAAGTCAGGAAAAGAAAAAAAATGAAGTGATAAAACATTCAGACTGATACCATTTGTGAAATAAGGGATGACCACTGGGTATACAATATCAGAATAGGGCATGATTATAAGTCTCCAGGCTCTTCTCCCTACTTTCAAAGAAGTCAGCTTTAAGTTTTTTAAAAATGGCCACCTGGCTTCAGTGTAAGATTTAAGAAAGGAAAGAGATTTGGGTTCCTAAAAAGTCCTCTTTCCAAGTTCACTGCTATAACCACTAGAGCTAGAAATCATGGCAGATGTCAAGAGGGTAAATGTTTTACTGCTGATTTGCCACACAACTATCATTCTCAGGTTGACTGCCCCTAAAACTGTCATTACTTAAAAAATATTGGATCTAACAAATAAGAAATGCTTGCTGATATGAACTCTGGATGTATAGATTATAAGCCATGACAGAGAAAAAAAATCACAGGTTAATTGTTAATACCTTTATGTATTCGATCCACTGTTGCAGGAGAACCTGAACTCCACCTCGAACTCTACTGAAGAGCTGATACAGAAGAGATAAATCTTGAATTCGGTTTTCATCAAGAAGGTTATTTAAACCTGAAATTTGAAACATTTTGAAAAATGTAAACAAAAATGTCAGAAATTTTATTTTAATATTGCATTATCTTTTTAAAAAGACTTTATTAATTTATTTTGAGAGAGAGGGGAAGGGAGGGAGAAAGAGGGAGAGAAACATTGATGCGAGAGAGAAACATTGATCGGTCCCCTCTCATACATGCCCCAACCAGGGACCAAATCCATAACCCAGGCATGCACCCTGACTGGGAATTGAACCGACCTTTCACTCTGAGGGACAAAGCCCAACCAACTAAGCCACACCAATCAGGACAATGTCAGACATTTTAATGAAAATTAAGTTAAATTATTATTGCAATACTGTTCTGAGCTATAACTAGTCTGTGAACTTTAATAAGAGATTTGCTCTAAATTAAACCAAAATAGACAATTGCCTTTCTGAATAAAAACTAAATATAGGAAATGTTAGCCTATATATATATAAATAAAAATAACTGTGTAACGGTTTATACCATTTAGCATGGTAGATCAGATGTATAAACCAATTTATAAAAACTGGTTTATATAAGTGCACATTATAAATACTTCATATGTGCAGTATGCATATTATATCTGGCATTAGTATATATAGCTATATTTCAGAGTATTGGATATGGCCTGTAGTATATCAAAAACCATACATTAATAGGCCAAGTTTAAATGAGGTTCGAATGTATTTGATTTTCAGAATGAAATAACAGTGTAACTGCATTGAAGTTCTAAAACATATCCATTTTATACAAAAAAAAAGATGGCTGGAGAGAGAAGTAAGACTTTTGCCTATCTGTGGCATTGCCAAAGCAAATTGCAGGGTATGCTCTAAGATAACTTAGCAACGCTTGGTAGAAGTGCTTCGTTTTACATGCTACGAACAAAATCACTTTTAATGCAAAAAGGAATGCCTTTCCTTACTAGTGTTACAAATTAAGTCAAGAATTCCCAGATGCCCACTGTTTCTTTACCAGTATTGGTGGACCCCTTTCATTTCAGTTCCTTATCTTTAAGTTAAGGAACGAGGCACTTCCTGAAAGTTTACTGTGATAAATAGGAAAAAAAGGGTTGTGTCCATCCTCAGAAATGCAGCCACCATAGGCTATCAAAATTTTAAAAGGGCAATCTTTAAAAATGTTTGTTTGCTGCTACCATTTTAAAAGTAATCTGATTTATAAATTGCCAATTACCTTTCTGAAGAATTGCTGTTAAGTGTTCACCTAGAAGTTGTTTTTCTACAGTAGCAATTAATGACTTCCTACAAGGAAAAAAAGTTTAGAATTATTGAGATTTGACTTTGCTAAAAATTTAAAGCCTTTCTGGGCAAGAAAAATCAAATAGCTCATTTTATGTTCATTTTAATATTCCTATCCTATGTATAAATTTATTGGTGTTCAGAGTTACTCTACTTTATGACTAAAAGAAGGAAAAGACTGCATATTTCAAAACCTGATTTACATTATAAAATAAATGTTTCCAAGGTCTTGCTGTGGCTGGCTTTTCCCAAGTTTCTCTGCTTTTATTTGGAAGGTCAAGAAATTATCTATGCTGTTTACAGGAACTCTTTGCTTGGTAATATTTAAGGAAGCACAGAAACAGTTTCTCCTATGAACACCCACTAAATTTTAATCTGCGTGAAGACTTCAAAGATGATATCAACTTCTAATACTAAGCACACACACAACCAATAATCATATCCTTAAACCAAATCTAATTAACTAGAGAAGATAACAACTTGAAGTTTGCATTATGGAAACTGTTTTAAAAAAGTCTCAAGTCACAGCTGAAATTAGTTACTAGCATGTTTGGGGATGCCTAAGTGCCTCAAGCGATTCAACAACACAGGTTAAGGCTATTAGGCAGAGCATGTCATACTTACTGGGTGGTCTGATCTAAGTAAGTAATAAGTCTGTCTGCTTCTTCTTCTAGACGTTTGTTAACATGATGAAGATATTCAGGAACCTACAAAGATAGTTTTTTTTTATTATTGTTTTCCTCCCCATAAATCATTCAGAAAATGTCAAGTCCAAAAGATCCTGGGAGCCGCCCTGTCAAATGTGACAGAGTTGACTCATATGTAAAATTATAGGTAGAGTTTATGATCCAGAATTCTGGCCTTTAAGAAGAGAGAAAAGAAAGGAGCACCTAAGTGAGAAAAAGGCATCACAATGTTGGGAAGATAAACCAAAAGGGCAGTTTATGTTCTATAAGTAAGGTCTAATTGTGAGACACAGTGGATTTATTAATCATGATTTTTAAATACCTCTCTTTCCTGCATTAATTTTTGGCCTTCGGCTGCGTAAAGCCGGTTAGTTTCTTCCAAAAATCGTTGCTCAAAAGAATCCTGATAAATCTGGGAGGGGGAAACAAAATAAAGGAGTTCATTTATTCATTAAATATTTGTTGAATGTCTTCTATGTGAACAACACTAGAGATTTGTTTTTTACCCATCAAACTAGGGATAGCCATCAGCTTTGTAGTAAGTGAAGTAGTTAACTTACTTGCAAATCAGAGAGCATGCTTAAAAGGCTTCGGAGTAAACTTCTATCAATTGCTTCACCATTCCTTTCCCTCTCAATCAACAGAAGAATGCCATCGATGGTCTTATTCTGGACTTTCTGATCGCTTATAATGTGGGCCCTAAATAACTCCAGTCCCATGTCCCTAAAATAAAAAAATATATACAATCTAAATTAATTAGCAATGGTACCACTTCTGGAGAGCTGTACTTAACTTCTCATCACATGTTAATTAGGGCTCCAGGCTTCGAAGCAGCAATGTAAAAGGATAAAATCCACACATTTAATTTTAAATAACATTATTAAACTAAATTATACAAGAAACTCATTTTGTCTTTAATGAGAACGAAAGCTAAACTCCTATCTTTTTCCATAACTAAGTTTTGATATATTACCTCCTTTAGTAAATTTCTTTGGTCAAATTAAAAGACAAAATTAGTTCAAAATTATAAAATGGTCTTCACTGTACTGGTAATGAAGGCTTAACTGATTATCTGTAATCTGGCTTTAGAACTCAAAAATCAGAACACTCTGATCACTGTAGGTAGCTGCTAGGTACATGGATGGGGGAAGAGCTCATTATATACCACCATTCTATTTTCATGCATACATGGAATTTTCCATAATAATAATAATGTTAAAAGATAATGAGTGAACTCTTGATCAGCAACAAAATAATACACACGCATAGACAGTTCAGAGCAACCTTTAAGTTCCTTAAAAAAAAAAAAAAAACTTCTTCATAAAGTATTATAGGCTCAGGGAACTTTAGCTGTCTCCAGTATTGGCATAGGTAAAACATAATTAAGAAGGTAAAACTGATATAAATACAAGTTTAGAAGCCAAAGGTGAGTTTTTAGGAGAATATTTACATTATCACTTACTCTCTTCAATTAGTGTAATTAAGATTCAACTATAATTTGTAACAAATCTTTTCATATTTTTTCTAGCATTCTTACCAAATGGAGGGTAGCATTGAATTCTGAAGAACGTAAGTTCTATCCAGAAACAAAAAAATGCTCCTGATCATGATCTGCCAATAAAAAAAAAAAGTAATTTTTATATTTTGTGAAGCTGAAATATTTGCTCTCAATAAAATAATAAAATTGCAGGATTTGCTTGAATATATACTAGACTACTTAGGATCAAACATACAGATAAACAGATCTACCTGAGAATATGCCCACACCATTTTTATTAGACTATTCTATTGTCTTAATCCTTGTTGTAGTTTCCAGAAAAGGGAAACTTAAAATGGTCCTATGACTTCTTTGCAACTTGAGAAGTAACTGAAAATAAAAAACAGGGAATCAAGGGGACATGTATATAATGCTTCGTCAGCAACAGTATCCAGGGTAAAGCTGCCTTAAATTGTACTTGCGGGGTTTGGAGAGGGGGAATGGGTTTTAAGATTTTTAATTTGCAGAGTATAAGGTATAAAATAATACCACATTAGGGAGAAAGTAAAAAGTTGTGATGTGAATAAGCTAAAATACAAAACCATTAGGCATCTTCACAGGTAATTTATTTTGGGGAAGGATATCCATCAAGACTGACAGCATCTAATGCTTTTAATGAGACAAATATTTTTGGTTATTTATGACAAAAATAAAAATGATCCTGAGGTGCAACTCATTCTAAAATGCTTGTGTACTTGTAACTTGCAGTTTTAAAAGAGAAAACTAAACCAAAATTAGTTTCCAATTCAGAACAAGAGCAGATGTTGAAGCAGGATCCTATTGCAAAGACTTTAAAGGTAATATTCCTGTATTCGAAGAAATTTATTTTTTAGCTACAACATTTAGCTTTTTCCAGCTTACCATTTGTCTACAGTGGTTCTGCCAGCATCTATCGATCTTCTTTAGAAAAAGAACACTATCCAATGAATCCATGAGATGTATGTCAAGGATATTTAGAAGTGCTCAGTACAAGTAATATACGTATGCAATGTAAGAGCACATTTGTCTTAAATATGGAATACCCTACCTAGTAAATGAAACTAAATAGCACTTAGTTATAGAACAAATGCCATTTCTTAAATTATAAAAAAACTGATCTCACTAAAAATACCTTTAAAAACAAGTATTAGACATAATTGAGCATTGTGTCTTCAGTTTATGATTTCCTTAGAAGATTATCTTTCCTCAAATGGAAATTTGTTAGGGGAAAAAGGGTAAAGATGTAAGGACAGCTTATTTACACTAATACCACAAAGTAGATTTAGACCCTAATTAAAGCTGAAAAATCAAAAATTCATTTCTTCTTTCTCTAGAAGCAAAATAAATAAAAACAACAAATCTAAAAGCATAGGTATTCCATTTCAAGCTGGATTAAATAGTGAGGGATAGGAAGGGAGAATAAGATAAAATACAAGGTGTTTTGTTTTTAAAAGGATATTCTCTGAACTGATGAATTTGTGCTTTGATGTGATCTTCACAAATCTGTCTCAGCTGTTTGTACAAGTTTGCAGAAATCTTGTAAGAACAGAGATTTTCTACAGCCTGTAAGATTAAACACATACTTGATTAAGGAAAGAATGAAGGGAGGGTTCTCAATTATTTACACAAAGTTCTTATTATTTTGGTATTTCTCCATGCAAGCCTATTAAAAAGGATTGTATTTCCATGTAAAAAAACAAAATAAAACAACAGTACCAATGTGGTGGTGAATTTTTCATAACCAATGTATTGTACCTAAAAACACAAATTAATATATTGATTATGGCTGTAGAGCTTAAAAATGGGGGGAATCAAGCCAAATTTCCCCCATGAAGACATTCAATTTCTAACAACTGCTACATATAAATGCTGTCTTGTTCTTTAAAACATCCATTGTTTTCATAAGTAGAAATCCAGTTTGGGTTTAAAAAATAGTTTCACAATTGTTTATTAGAAGGGTTGGGCAGTCTGACCACCATTTAATAAAAATTTATTTATACTTTGGTTTTCCTGAACAGAACAATGCAGAAATTACTGCTAGCAGTATTATGATAAGTATGACAATAATTAACCACTAGAATTTTTTCTCTAACATTTCAGTTTTAAAATATTTCAATAAATACTTTAAAATTTGAGCAACTGAATAAACATTAATCACAAAAGAAATGGCTATATTTTACATCATTCTAATAGTTAAATTGGTCTTCTTTTATACTCAGATCCTGAAAGGACAAACCAGATTTCAGTGAGTCTCTTGTTATGTGTATCAAAAGACTTTCAAGTTTAAAACAACAGCCATGGTAAAATTCTTTGGATGAGCTCTGATACAATCTACAATTCCAACTAATAATGACTTAAGTATAACACCAGGATTCTTTTCTTACCACAACAGAAGGCAAAAATTCCATTAAAATTGACTCTAAGGGAGCATCCAAGTTTTGTTGGTTGGAGTGGAATTTTATAAATATGTAGTTGCAAGTCAAGTTGCCGGTATGCAGGTCCAATAAATAAATTAGCAAATGAAAAGAAAGCTTAAAGGAAACCACTTATGCCATTGGAGGAATGGAGTCATTACACATCACCAGGAAACACCAGATCCAGCAGCTAAGGAGGAATAAGAAGGCTGAGTCTCCACTGGCTACTTTCCACAGGGCCTTGGGTTAGGCCACAAATGCCTAAAGGATGTCTTTTTATTTATTCATGTTCCTTTATGTTCCTATTAGTCCTCTGTGGACTCTCCCCCTTCCTCCTTTAGTAGTCTCACTGTATCTAGATGTTCCTTTTGAATGACATTTTCTCAGCATTTCTCATTACCCTGCTTAGATTCTGTCTTCCTACTTCATCTTCTCATTTCCTACTTCCAGTATTTCCTCCATTCCCTCGTGCTGTAGTAGTTCAACACAAATATCTATTTACCTTCTCACACAAGATACCATATTCCCTTACCACTCCCCTAGGTGGTACTTCTCCCAATAAAACTTTCCTTAATTGCGTCAGCAACAAGTGACTCACTGGGCATTATCACCAATCATACCATACTGACTTGTCACCAAGTCAATACTATATGCCTTTGTGTATATATATCCTGTCCCCCGTATTCTCCTTAGTGACAGACCGAAACCATGTGCTCAAATCTCTTTTATGTTCTTTAGTACTTTTTGAGCTTTGCACCAGAGGAATACAGTAAATACTCAAAAAAAAAAAAAAACAACAAACCCCAAAAAACAACAAACCCTAACATACCTATAAGTAGCAACGTGCCCTGAATATAGAATAAGCTATTATAGTGTAAGGAGAAAACTGGCCAAAAAATATACAATTACAATATACTGTGCTAGGTGCTGTGATGGGGATAAGCATAGAGGTGAGGCCCCTAATCCACTGTTGAGGGCAGGGGCAATGCGGAACAGGCTTCCTGAGCAGAAGTAAAGAAGTGCAGTCCCGAAGACCCAGAAAGAAATGGATAGACAGCAAGTGGGATTAGTGAGAAACAGACAAGTAAGCTGGGCCTTATTTGCATACAGCCTCACCTGTATTTAGTTGGGAGATGGTTTAAGATGTTAGGGGAAAGAAAAGCAGGAACATCAAAGGTGAATTCTGAAAGTCAAGTTGGAAGAGAACACTTTGCTTTTCTAATTTATCCCTGACTGCCTAACATACAGACCAGAGCTGGTAATTTCTCTTCCTCAACAAACTTTCATCAAGCTCTTCAAGTACTACTACGGAGAAATTGCGTAACAGGTATAAAAAATACAGAGAAATGAACAGTGTAGTGCAGTGCATGGCCTTCTATCATTTATGTAAAAAAGAGAAAAATGAATAAAAACACACACAGTTGTTTTTACATACACAAAGCATCTCAGGAAAGACACCTTCCATCTAGTAATGTTTGTGGAGAGGGAAATGAGCTGGGAGTTGGAGGATGGGATGGAAGGGGAACTTTTCACTACATACTTTATACCACCTTTTGGGCTTTAAGTATTCAAAATGCTTAAATATTTGCCTTGCCCAATAGAACCCCTTTCTGTCTCCCCCTCCACACACTGCATTTTTTCAGTTTAGCATGACATTCAAGGCCTAATCTTACCATTTCAGTCTCATGTCTGTTTATAATCTTCTATACACCCCATGACCTAAACACTCTCCTTACTTTTAAGCAAGGTTTGTTTGGGGCAGTCATGTGTGCCTAAAACAGTGATTTCTAAAAACTTTTGAGGAGCCACAATAAAAAATATGTTTTATGCCATAATCCACTGTACATAAAATAAATGTAACTGAAAAAAATCTTCGTGAAACTACACTTAATCATTACTATGCATAATGTACTCTGATATTTTCTATTTTGTTTCTTCAAAAACTGCTAGTCACAAACTACTAATTAATTTCAAACTACAATATAAGCATCATAGGGGCAAGAACTAAGTGATCTCTATATGCCCATGGCTTCTGCCCAGCTTTGCATACAAAAAGCAGTCACTGACTCAACAAGGACTGAGTGTTTACTAAGTACTCTGTATCCTGTTAGGTGCTGGGATAGAAACATGAATAAGCAAGTTTAATCACTAGTTAGGAGTTTGAGATGAGCTCTACTTTATTTTTTTTTTAATTTCCGTACATAGTTAGGTCTTTCTATGGATTTTATATTCCGTTACACTGGTCTATCTTTATTCATTTATCAATTCCAATTTCTAAAATCCTCACTTGAGGATATATTGTATTTATTGATTTGAGAGAGAAGAAGGGAGAGGGTAACATCAATGTGAGAGAGAAACATTGATCAGCTGCCTCCCACACGTGTCCTGAGGTATATGCCCTGGCCAGGAATGGAACTCAGAAACTTTTGGTGCATGGGCTGAGGCTACAATGAACTGAGCCACCTGGCCAGGGTGAGATGAGCTCTTATTTTATTTTAAGATCTTTGAAATGCACTTTTAGAAATGTATCAATTATTGCCCTGGCTGGTGTAGCTCAGTGGATTGAGTGCTGGCCTGTGAACCAAACAGTCACTGGTTCGATTCCCAATCAGGGCACATGCCTGGGTTGCAGGCCGAGTCCCCAGTTGGGGGCGCGCAAGAGGCAACCACACATTGTTGTTTCTCTCGTCTTTCTCCCTCCCTTCCTCTGTCTAAAAATAAATAAATAAAATCTTAAAAAAAAAGAGAAAGAAATATATCAATTACTTTACACTTCACTAAAACTTTGGAAATCCCTGCAAGTTTGGTCTAGTATAATTATTACAAAACTAACCTCAGTTCACAGGCAGCTATTTACAGTAAAGAGGTTATCGAGTTATACAAGTCCCTTAAATAAAATTATCTTTTCACTTAAGCTCACAATCATTACTGGTAAAAATGCTATCTTAAGTCCTTTTTGAAGGTAATCAATTATAAAATAAGAATATTCCAGCAAGGTTTTGACCTTTATTCCTCCAAATCCTAGCTCCTCCCCTCCAAAATCTACAAGTCATATCAAAAATATGTTTGATTGGAGCAAAACAACACTCCAAATACTGGGTTGGTCGAAAAGTTAGTTCAGTTTTAAAGTAAAAATAAAAGGTACATTTTTCTTTCTGTTGTTCAATGAACTCTGAACTTTTTATTGGCCTCCTGCCTTCCCAAGGGATGCCCCACTTTTGCTGCTTTTCATGCCTCAAAACTCTGGTGTCATTGACCTCAGACACCACTTTGCCGTCCACATTTCTGAGGGTTGTGTACTTTTGGATGGTTTGTAAGGAGTGGCTCTTGTCCAGGGCGTCAACAGGATTGAAGTCCTCCCCTTCTTCCAATAGGTGGCGGTAGGTGGCAATCCCAGCCTCCAGCTTGACCTTGATGTGCAGCAGGGCCTCGTACTCCTGGGCCTGGCGCTGCCCCTCTGCCCGGGTCTGGGCCAGCGCTGCCTCCAGGCGCAACAGGATCCCACTGAGTTGTGCGCTCTGCACAGCATAGCGCATCTCTGCCTCCCTCAGGCTGTTCTCCAAACTGACCTTCAGATTTCTCATTGAGTCCAGGTCAGTCTCCAAGGACTGGACCATACGTCTCAGCTCTGTGAGTGTCACCTCAGCAGCACCTACCTCAGCAGTCTGTGTGGTGACCACTGGGGCGCTCCCCTCAGTCTGATGGGACCAGTACTTGTCTAGTTCCTCTTGGTTCTTCCGAGCCAGCTTCTCATATTGGGCCCGGAGTTCCGCCATGATTTTGCCCATGTCCTGAGATTTAGGGGCGGGCATCCAACTCCACGGTCAACCCAGAGCTGGCAATCTGGTTTTGTAGACCATTTACTTCCTCTTTGTGGTTCTCCTTCATGCAGGCGAGTGATATTGGTGTCATCAATGACCTTTTGGAGCCCACTGATGTCATGCTCCACAGACTGGCGCATGGCCAGCTCTATCTCATACTTGACTCTGAAGTCAGCAGCAGCAAGGTGGGCACTGCCAATCTGCAGAACGATGCGGGCATTGTGCACAGAATGTGCAAAGATCTGAGCCCTCAGGTCCTGGATGGTCTTGAAATAATGCCCCGAGTCTCTGACCTGGGGTCCCTTCTTCTCTAGGTGTTCCCGGATTTTGATCTCCAGTCTCCGGTTATCAGCCTCCAGGCTTCTCACCGTCTCCAGGTAGGAGGCCAGGTGGTCATTCAGGCATTGCATAGTCTCCTTCTCGCTCTGGATGCCTCCTATGCCCACCAGACTCACAGCCATCCCTATAGCCAGGCTACCAGATCCCCAGCTGCCCCGCATGCTGGTGGAGTGGGACACAGAGATCCAGGAGACCAAGCACCCAGTGCCTACATAGACGCTGGCCACACTGCTGACCAGCCGGACCCAGCGGCTGGGTGACTGCACGGAGCCCAAGGTCCAGTAGCTTGTAGAGAGGCTGGAGCGTGTGCTGAACCTCATATTGTTCAGGGAGGAAGGCAAGAAGCCGAGACTCAGGTTGAATCTACAGTCAAAAGGTACATTTTTCATTTTCATTAATAACTTTATTGAACAATGTAGTCACCATTTTGTTCCACTACCTTCTGCCATCTTTCAGGCAATATCATAATTCCATCTTCCCCAAACTTCCTAACTTTTTGAGCAAAGTACTGTTCCAGGTACCTTTTGCAGTCCTCCAGGGAATTGAAATTTTTTCCATTAAGAGAATTTTGTAAAGACTGAAATAAATGGAAATCTGAAGGTCCAACGCCTGGTGAATACGTGGATGTATCAGAACTTCCCAGCCACCTGTAACAGTTTTTGCCTGGTCATCAAAGAAACATGTGGTCTTGCCTTATTCTGATGAAAGATTATGCGTTTTCTGTTGACTAATTCCGGATGCTTTTCATGGAGTGCTGCTTTTAGTTGGTCTAACTGGGAGCAGTACTTGTTGGAATTAATCACTTGGTTTTCCAGAAGAAGCTCATAATAGAGGACTCCAGTCCAATCCCACCATATACACGATATCACCTTCTTTAAGACTGGCCTTTGGCGTGGTTGCTGGTGGTTTGTTTCGCTTGCCCCACAATCTATTCCATTCCACATTATTATAAAGTATCCACTTTTCATCACCTGTCAGAATTTGTTTTAAGAATGGAACATTTTCCTTACGTTTAGGTAGAAAATTACATGTGGAAATATTGTCAAGAAAGTTTTTTTCACTTAACTTATGTGGAACCCAAACATCAAAGTGATTAACATAACCAAGCTGGTACAAAGGATTTTTGATGTTTAATTTGGATATTTTAAGTATGCTGGCTATCTCCCACATTGGTATAATATTGATTGTTCTCAATTAATGTCCTGATTTGATTGCTATCCACTTTAACTGGCCTACCCGACCACGGAGCATCGTCAAGTGAGAAATCTCGGGCTTGAAACTTCACAAACCACTTCTGACACGTTCAGTCAGTCACAGCACCTTTTCCTTACACTGCACAAATCTTTGTGTTTCGGTTGTGTTTTCACCTTTCTTGAAATAATAAAGCATAATATACTTAAAATGTTGCATATTTTCTTCCATTTTCAATATTAAAATTCACCAATTTTGATAAGTTTTTTTATATGCTGACAAGATAGCTGTCACAATACAACCTAACAAAATTGTTTTGAATGAAGTTAAAGACAACTCGGCACTACTAGAACCATCTTACAGAAAAAAACAAATGAACCTTTTGGCCAACGCAATATAAACATGTAGCAAATGCAAAACTACAGAAATTGAAATTTGATGCTTTGGGGAATACAGGATTTGAGAAACAGCAAAGGCAAAGATTACATTTGGGAAAAAGAAAGGGATAGAAATGAGAGAAAACGAGAATAAAAAATAAAGAGGGTTAAAATAGGGATAAACAATACAAAGGGTGTAAAAATAAAGAATTAAACATAGTAATGCAGGAAATCTAGAAATTTTTCTAATTTAACAATGACAGAAATAAAAAAGATATTAAATTCCCACCAGGGTGATGAACTCTGGCCACTGGCCTAATAGGTTGCATCTTATTTCTCAAACCATATGTTTAAAGAAACAAAATACATTATGAAACTTTTCAAAAACTGATACAGCAATAAAATCTAAATTAACTCTTTTTACATTTAGTAAAAATGGCTAACATAAGATACTCAAAATATATCAAAAACTAAGAATTTACAGAAAGAAAGTCAGACAATGAAACCTAAATTATCTTACAATACATTTTACAGATAGTAAAAGGGGCTTAATTAAGATTAACATTATCAAGGCCTAAGAATTTATAGTTATGCATTTTTTCAAATGGAAAGGAAATTATTAATGAATAATTCAGTAAAAAGAGGAGCAATACATTCATCTATCAATGGATACCTAGGTTGTTTCCATATCTAGTCTATTGTCAATAATGCTACAGTGAACACAGGTGTTCATGTGTCTTTCCAAATTAGTGTTTTCATTTTCTTTGGATAAATACCCACAAGTGAAATTACTAGGTCATATGTCAGGTCCATTTTTAATTTTCTGAGGATCCTCCATACTGTCTTCCACAGTGGCTGCACTGATCTTCATTCTCCCCAACAGCGCAGGAGGGTTCCCTTTTCTCCACATCCTTGCCAACACTTATTTGTTGTCTTTTTGATAATAGCCATTCTGACAAGTATGAGGTGACATCTCATTGTGGTTTTAATTTGCATTTCCCTAATAAAGTGATGTTCCACCTTTTTCATCTCATGGTACACATAAACTAATTACTAAAATTCTGCAGCACACCAAAAACAATTTTTTTTTGCTGACCTGATCAAAAAAAAGTATAACTTTGATTCATTCACAGCAGATAGCTATTGTTGTATTGGCTGTTGTCATTTTTTTAATTTGACAATCTCAGGGAAAAGAGGTCAGTGCCCCTGACTAGATAGTCAGGTATTGCATGTTTTAAAAATTCTTGCAGCACACCAGTTGAAAATCACTGATCTAATGATTAGTGATGTTGAGCATCTTTTCGTGCGTCTGTTGGCCGTCTGTATGCCTCCTTTTGAAACAACCTAGATGATCATCACTAGATGAATGGATAAAAATGTGGTACACACACACACACACACACACAATGGAATATTAATCAGTCATAAAAAGAATGAAATCTTGCCATTTGTGACAACATGGATGGATCTAGAGGATATTATACTAAGTGAAATACGTCAGAGAAAGACAAATACCATATGACTTCACTTATATGTAGAATCTCAAAACAAAACAAATGAATAAACAAAACAGAAACAGACTCCTACAGAGAAACTGATAGTTGCCAAAGGGAAGGGGGGTTGAGGAATGGGTGAAAAAGGAGAAAGGGATTAAGAGGCACAAACATCCAGTTATAAAACAAATGTGTCATGGTGATGTAATATACAGCACAGGAAACACAGTCAGTAATATTGCAATAAATTTGTATGGTGATAGATGGTAACTAGACTCTTTGTGGTGATCATTTCATAAGGTATACAAATGCCAAATCATTATGTTGTATAGACCTTAAACTTATATGTCAACTATACTTTAATAAAAAAGTGGAGCAATACATAATGTGATACACTAAGCTTAAAAACATCAACAGAGTGACAAGTTAAACGTACATAGAATACAATATAGAATAGCTATCCATCTCTGCTAAGAATCTAACTGCTCTCCTATAACCATTGACTATTTTATTAAGCAACCAGATTTTACAATGGATAATAACCTATATACTGAGATGGAAGAACTATTTCCTTCCAGTCTTGTGGTCATCTCTCAACAAATGAATCATTAATAGAGGGTTCATGACTTAAGATTTATTTCACAAAAAGCTAACCAAACAAGAGTTCCTGTAATTAAAAGAGACAAATTATTTTAATCAGAATTGAAGTATGGACTAGGCTTACCTTCAAAGATAATGGCTAGACATTTATATTAAGAAAAAATGTAGCCCTGGCTGGTGTGGCTTGGTTGGAACATCGTTCCATAAACCAAAAGGTCACAGGTTTGATTCCCAGTCAGGGCACATGCCTAGGTTGTGGGTTTGTTCCCTGATTTGGGCACTTATGAGAGACAACCAACTGATGTTTCTCTCCTTCCTTCCCCTCTCTCTAAGCATGTCCTCTGGTAAGGATAAAAAAATAAATAAATGTTACACTTTCACATATAAAAACTGAGGCACTATACAAGTATGTAGCCACCTCCCAGAATGGTGGATGATCTAAAAACACTACACAGCTATTAATACAAAGGCTGAGAACATGAGGAAAATAACCCCATTATTTAACATATTACAGGGAATTCTGGTTAAGATGGTGGCATAGGTAGACAGGGCTCACCTCCTTGCACAACCACATCAAAATTACAACTAAATTATAGAACCGTCACTCAGAAATTGAATTGAATGGAAGTCTGACAACTACGGAATTAAAGAATCCACATCCATCCAGACTGGTAGGAGGGGCAGAGATGCAGGACAGACTGAACCCATATTCACATGTGCCAGATAAAAATTCAAGAGGGAGATCTCAGGAGCAAGGAGTCCCAGCCCCATAGCATGCCCCCAATCCAGGGTTCCAGTACCAGGAGGACACGTCCCCATGACTTCTGGCCACAAAAATCAGCAGGGATTGAAGAAACTTGTGGAGTCCCCAGCAGTTCCACTTAAAGAACCCACACACGGACTTACTCAGACTCACTTCCTCTGAGCTCTAGCACCAGGGTTGCAGCTTGAAAGGCACCAGTGGGATCAAGGGAAGAACTGAAGTGTCTGGGATCAAGGCAAGAACTGGAGGACAGCTTTCTCCCAGATAGAAAGGCGGGCAGAGACCACCATCCCTTTTCTGGGCCGTCCCGCCACAGCCATAGAGCCTGCAGGTGGGTGCCATATCCGAGACTCCATCAACCTGGTTAACGCTGTTTGCCCCACCTTGGAGATCCCGAAACTCAATCCTGCCCAACTTACTGGCCCACCAAACTGTTCCCCATGACTCTTCCATATGAATGCCTGGTCTTGGCTCATGCCTCACAACTTCCTAAATCCTATCAAAGAAGGAACAGCTGGCCTCAGTAAACTCCCAGCCCCCAAACTTCTTGCCACATGACCCCAGGACTGGCACCACTAGCAGCCAGCCCAGATTCACAGCTTGGGTTGCCTGGGAATCTCCAAGCCCAGCACAAGTAGCAGCCATCTCAGATTGCTTTATAGCTCAGGCAGGGTGGCCCCAGGCAAAACACAGGTTGGGGCAGACCTTGGCCTGCACCACCCAGAAAACCCCAGGGCCTGAGCACCCAGTGGACAGCTACAGACCACATCGGAGCAACACCACCCTACCCCTCCATAGCTGATCCTCCACAGAGGGCGGAGGTTGGTAGTCAATGGTCACAGCCAGTCCTTGCAGCTGACTGGCCTGGGTAAATCCCTCCCACTGACCTGCCAACA